CCACTGTAACCAATTATGTACGTGTACATACATATACAATTATGTATACGTACTGTACCAATTATGTACACATTCCTTCGGGCGATATATACCTATGGGCATTTTCATGGAACTTCTAAATGGCTTCACACAAGTCAGAACCCGTGCCTAACGACACGGAAGTCATCATCGCTGACCACTGTAACCAATTATGTACGCGTACATACACATCATGTGTACATACTGTACCAATTGTGTATATATTCCTTCGGCTGCTATATACCTCTGGGCATTTTAATGGAACTTCTGAATACTTTCACACAAGTCAGTTCTTGGAGAAATCTTTAGTCCCAAGGATAGAGATTTCTGTATTTCCGAATTGCAAGTAAAATAACATCGTTTAAGGTGAGAAATCGTTTAAGGGAACGGAGAGTATCTTGCTTGCACACAGTAATTAATTTTTTTTTTCCATTCTTTTCTGTTCACTCACTAAATCCATAACGGATGGAATCTCCTGCGTAAAACAAAAAATTCTGGAGGGCAGAACCGTATGACTTCCTTCCACGGCCTATTAAATTATACAGATTTTTTGGCTGAACTTCATTTAAACTTATTCCCTCGAATTATTCTAATTTAATTAAACAGTCTCTTAAGGCAAATAGAAAATGACTTGAAAAATTTGAAACTTTGAAATTAAATGTCCCGGTCAGTATTTGTCGTACGGGAGTTAAACTTCCTGTAATTTTATTTTTTCTTAACCAATAATGAAACTTTTCCGAATATAAGTAAAAGGAACTGAAACATTGTAATGAAAGTTATATTTCGTTATTTGTTGATTTCTTTTTTAAATTTGACGCTGCCCAAGCATGAGCATTTTCGTCATTTAACACATTTTTGTAATTGGAAGCATATGATTACGACCACCTATAACGAAAATAATATATATATTGTTTCATTAGAAACTAACATAAAGTTAAAAATAAAATTAAATAATTCTCTTGCGCCATTGTTGCAAGGAATGAAATTTGAATTTAACAAACACAAGATCATTATCTGATTCATATAAAGCTATTTTAATTTAGAATATTATGAAAATTCAATTGTAAACAAATAAAAGATTAATTATTGCGGCAATATCATTCAGTTTTCAGAAAGCATATGTAAATTGAGTGTAAGTATCTTAATACATGAAAAACTATTTAATAATTAATGATGTTTAATAATCCATAAGTTAATTCTAAAAACTTTAAAGAATTTTTCACGACTAAATTATGCTGCATAAAGTGAATAATTGTTGAGTAGGCAGATTTAAACAACTCATTATTTTTTAATTAAAATAATAAAGTTATGAAGCAAGAAAATTATATTTGAAATTAATAATAATGTAATCTTTATTAATATCAATTAATAATATTACAGTGCGATGATATAATGGCTATTTTACTTTATTTATTTTTTTTTTCATTTAAACTTCCTTTTAAAAAACAAATTCTGATGTGGGCACTACATGACTTCCTTCTACGGCGTATTAAATTATGCACATTTTTTTGCTCCACTTCATTTAAACTTATTTCCTCGAATTTCATTCGAGATATATTTCTCATTCAATCACTTCAGTTCTCAATTAGCGGCAAGTCAAAAATACATAAAATCTCAAAACATTGTCCTTAAAAATTGTAAAATACAGAAAAACGTAAAACACCAAATGGAGTTGAAAACAGTTAAAAAAGTAATTTTTGTCCTTAAAGTCTATATGCGAAAACAAGCAATTACGCCAACGAGTAGAAAGGCAAAACTTATGGCGCACAAAAATTTAAAGTCAACTTTTGGTACCACTGGGTAAATGTTGGTTCACTAGTTAACTGAATTTACAAATAGCTGATACACCTAGCACGACTAGCTTGCTTTTAAATTGCTCATAATTCTACAGTTATTGCAGGCAGGTTAACTAAAGGCATAAAACCCTTAGCCAGAACGTAAGGACAACATAATTTAATTTGTTTTTAAATTTAAAAATACAAGCTTTACTAACATTTAAGACTAAAGAAACAGAGCTCACCGAGCCGGGTACAAGAGTCGGTATTATACATATATATACGCTTTTGGTGCGGCAGATTGCACCAATAAGGGCAGTGCACAACTATATGTTATAGCAGTCCCATATACAAAATTTCAACGTTCCGAGGCTATTCGTTTTTCAGTTATGCGAGATACATACATACGTACAGATACGTACGTAGTGACGCGACGGAAAAACATCCCTTTTGAATCGATTTCAAGTCCATTTTGTGAGATGAATACACGTGGATATGTGAAGCAGTGACCTGCAAAGAGCTTCAATTGAGGCATGGATGATAAACCTTGAATCTAGAAACATATTTTCCTAACGTAGATGACCGCTGTGGAATCTAGCTGGTACAGTTGCACCAACCTATTTGGAAGCATGCTAGTTCTGATCAGGACTAGATCTTCAGAACAAACTGATCTGTCACCTTAGCCTAGAAACAATTCCAATACAAAGAGCACAGGCTCTGGTATCTCTTTGCTGCTTCCTAGTAATTATCACTTTCCATTTCCATAGATGCTTACATGCGGTGAAAACCACTATAAAGATGTCCTGTAGATTTGAATTTTTAGATAATGTTCACCATGTTTACATCATTTAGATAGATTTTGAACAGAGCTAAAACAAGGGCAGCAACTGAAACAAGGAAAAAGCAGGACCTCCCCTACTTCTGCTGTTGCCTCATAGTGAAGAGGGGGGGGGACACTTGGTAGAAGGGCGAATTACGTCGGGGACGGCGCTATTCCGCAGCTCAGGCAAACTCGAGTTCGCAACAAGGGGTGCCCGCAATTGATCGCTAACCTGGCATAATATTATACGATTTTCGATTCCTTGAAATTTACGAACACTTAGAAAGAAATAGTGATTAGAGTCCACTGGGTATGAGTCCATAATTCGGGTACCCTTTTGGAGTCGAAGGAAACACCTGCGCAGTAGCCTAGGCGAAGGTAAATGCTCAGTAGAAACATATGCATGATATGGAAAATACAAAGAAATGCCAATGCCTCATTACAGGATCTCGTGACGTCATGAGATGGTGGGTACATACGGTGCAGGGTAACAAATACAGTAGTATACAGGAGTACATACTATTGCAAACTATATACAAAATATATACAAAATAAATTAATATCGAAGGGTACTAAAGAAAAGACAATTCAAAGGATGAGTACAGGAGAATAATATAACGGAGGTAAACTGGGGGTAGCAGTTACATGAACAAAAAGGTGGGAACGAAAAATTAATGTTGAGTATCTTAAGACCGAAGCGGTCTTTGCGATTAGCGGCTTATATAAAAAGCATCGGAATGGTTACAGTTACACCATTCAGATCTTGCAGAAAAATGTTTTCAGCAGTTTCGCATATCGCAGTGAAGTTCAGGATATTCATCTCACGGTCACTACCAATTTGTATGAACCATCGATAGTTCACCCTGCCTATTACAATTTTGTAGTACTTGTAATTTCCTAGTTTGTTTTGCAAGTGTATCCCAAAAACAGGGAGGCGTAGGTCAGCAGGGACGCAAAGGTTCCTGTAAATGATAATTTTACAATAATAGAAACAGAGTTCCGTCACTTACGGTAGGTTCGTTTACGGACACGAACTGGCAACAACTTGTGTTATGTGGGACCCGTGACGATCTGCCTAAATGCACCTGGTATTGGGCCTGCCCAGTCCTCTGATAGAGTACTTAATCTGACGCAGGTGGTTTGTCTATGTTTCTCTCTTGTGGAAGAACTGCTTCTGTCTTTCCACGTTTACTCACTTCGTCGTAAGCCAGACTCAGTGCGGGGCGGGGTTGTATGCTTGTATGACTGAGCCAAGATATCATTTTGGAGAGAATTGCCGTGTCGTCGGCTACATAGAAAGGGTGGTGTGGTGGTGTTTGTGGTATATCGTTAGTGTAAATATTATAGTGACGGCCAGGAGACCCCTGTGGGACGCCAGCCTTGATAACCCGTGGTGTATAGAGTGAGTTGTGACACGAACGATAAAATGTCTTTCTTTAGGTAGAAATGCGTGATGGATGTAATTACTCTGAAAAACCAGAGTGATGTCCCCAAGCCAGACACGCTAAGCTTTGTATCTATAGGAATTGCACCAGTACTTCCCGCTCCTGGAATCCTGAGAGATCATCTCCGTAACCCTGTACAGTTGATGTACGGTGGAATGCTTCTTCCGGAACCCATATTGCTCTGGTATGATGATCTTGTTGCGGTCTGTGAAGTGCTATTCCTCGGTCAGCTAATGCACAGCGGGCAGAGGCAAGGTCAGATTTTATCCTTTAGAGCTTCAAGGTCCGAAATCTTCGGAAGCTGCATTCATTTCTCTTTATCAGTACTTGGTTACCAAATTTTGCAGAAATATTCATAAGAAAATCTCATTCTTTTGGCGCGGAGAGGGTATTTATTAGTTTTAGGATGAATAACATTCAGAAAAGTTCCAAATCGATAATATTCCGGAAGCGAATGAATCAAATTCTATTGCAGTATCGAAAACTGGCTCGTTATGTTTTTTTTTTGGGGGGGGGAGGGATGTCTATCTTTGGAACATGTAATTGTCTTTTGGAGTTATTTCAAGTACTTCAAAATTATTTTTTTACAAAAATCGTGATTCTGAATACCCAGAAAAGGGTTTTGATTAAAATGAATTAGTGCTTTTAAGTAATTCTTATGAAATGATACTTTATGACATCCAACTGCTAATCTTCATTTGTTCAAGAACTGACCGAACACTGAAGGGATATTTGTTGGAAAAGAATAAACTATTATTGTAACAAAAATAGTACTTCATAATTAAGTTTTAGTTCACAGTGATTAAAATATGAATTATATTTTAAATTATTGCGTCTCTCGCTATGTGGCTGAAATTTGAGAGAAGTAATGCAACAAAATGCTTTTTAATGTTCCTTAAGGGAAAAAAGTGCTTACAATAATAAATATTTCTTTTGTTGCAGGTTATAAATGGCACCAAATGTCGTATCTACGACGGTACAAGAACATCATGAAACAGAACCAGAACAGAAACCTCTCGAGCCCGTCCAAATCGTGTGGCGTAATGTTTTCTTATTCATAGGACTGCATATAGCCGCCCTTTATGGAATGTACTTAGTCATACTTAATGCCACATTAACATCCTGGTTTTACGGTAAGACATTTATAATGCGTATAACATAGAATCATTTTTCTCATCCAGATTGCGAAATTAAAAATTTAACAATAATTAAACTTGAAAACATTATTTGAAGTAACACTATGTTTTAGCATAAAATTTCTACGGAGCGACTGAAAAGACAAAGAACAATTTTAAAAAATTATTTCAATAAATTTGTAATGTGTGTGGCAGAAAACAACGTTTAATTCTCACGTTTAATTTTAAGCTTATTTTTGTTCAAGATTTGATTATGTAAAATTTTATTCCAGCAAACATCTCAAAATTGTGTTCAACCCTCCATGAACGAGAGCCTATAAAATAAAAATTCCTATAAAATTTTACAGTAGTAGCTTTATTGACAAGGTACAGTTGAAAAAACTGTATTAGCCTGGATCAGCAACTGTTACGCTACCATCTTTCTGAGGCTCAAGTGATTGCTCCTATTCTTAAGAAAAAAGTTTAAGAGACATCGATAGATTTCTATAGAAATCCCTATAGAAGTTTTTAATCAGTCCTCTATATACATTCTTCTCTGTAAAATTTTATAGAAATTTTATGAAGCTTTCACACAGCAGAATATTATAGAAATTTTGCTTTGCAAAATCACGTAGAAATTTTAATAACGCATTACATTTTGGTATGCTATAGAAATCTTCAAAATTTTCAAACATCAATCAAAACAAATTTTTTTCAGTATCTCATAAATTATATGAGATACAGAAAAGCAAAAATAAAAATTTTTGTTTAAAAGTATTTAATCATTTTTGAATGGAAATGTTTTCCTTTCTTCCTCTAGTTTAACGTTTTGCAGCTTTTGAACTTATGTAACATTTTGTTCAATCTTATTTACAATGCTGCCTATATAATACAAGAATGAAATCTTAGAAAAGTATAAAATTAATTTGAATCATACAGTTAATTAAAAGATTAAATATATATATAGTTAATTATGGAATTTAATTCCTGAAATTAATGCTTTTTATTATTATATGAGGGACCTTGAAAAGAAAAAATACGACATTAATTTAATTAAGAACTTGAATATTATAATAAATACTAATTTAATTATATATATATATATACTTAAGTATATGAATTACACTACTTAAATTAATATATTTAAAATCATTTACTTTATTTAAATATTGTTTTAAATCAAAATGATGTTAACAATTTTTTTAGAAAAAAATCATATCTGTTCTGAAAGATTTATGCCCCCCATCTCCATGTTATAGATCATTTCAAAAGTTAGACAAAATTAAAAAATTTTAGACAAAAATGCAAACTTATTTTTCTAATCCCAAAAGAAGATTTGCTTGATTATATAATGTTTCTAAACACTTAAACGCTTGTAGAGAATATTTTATATAAAATCAAAGCAACGAAAGTTGTTTAGAATTATATTAGTACATTCTGTAAACGTTACGTGAAATTCTATACTTGGGACTTTTGTAAACTCCGCTCAAATTTTTATGGGATCTCTATACATAACTCTATTGAAGTTACACCTAAAATTTTATGGAATTCTATAGACGATTTTTGCCTTAGTTTATATAAAATTGCTTCTAAATTCCAAAGGATTCTAAAGATGTTTAACATTAAAATTTTTTATAGAACTCTGTAAGATATTTTCGTAATTACCTTCATATAAACGAGGAAAGTAGGTATTGTGAAAGTCTGTGAAACAATGCTGTGCCCCAAATTAAAAATTTTAGAAAAAAAAATTTGGAATCTATTTCAAGAAACTAGAAGTCTGAAGTAGGCTGCATGGTTGCAATGATTTATGCAATCGCACATGGAATTTAAAAAAAATTAAGCCTTTAATATCATTCAAAGTTGAAAAATTATTTTTTTAAATTTTAAATGGTGAGATTATGTTCAACGAAGATTACAAGTTTAAACACGCAAACGAAGTTCAAACCTGTTCCACGTATATGAGATAAATGTCTTAAGCGATTTACTCTGCTCATTATGCAATTTTCCTTGACTTCACGCCCCAGAAATAAAAATTGTTTTGTCATACGTCAGAAAACAATACTGAATGGCAATTTTTATTTCCTTTTTTTGCTATAATCTGAACTATGCAAGAGTTACTTCAGTTTCTGAAGCAGGGAAAAATCAGTTGAAATCAGTGTGATGAATGCTGAAGATAGAGAAGAATCTGACGTCTGCAAGCAGCCCATGAACGTGGAGTCATCTACGGAAGTTTCTCGTGCAAAACACAATATTTTTCTGACGCTTTCGCGGTTGAGTAATTTTTTGTTCTAATTTTTCTATTCATTAAAGCAAGTAATATTTGACTATATGAGATGATAATTAAGTTTCATAGTGGTAGATTCTTTTGGAATGCTTTAGAATGTTTTTCTTCTTTGTTTCGTCAAAAGCATTCTAAAACGGTGTACACTACATTTCTAGGAACTTGTGAAAAATCTTCAGATGCCTTTGGAAAACACAAACAAGCGTCGAAAACGAAATTAGTATTGCCAGAAATCTTTTAAGCTAAAATAGCAAGAGAAAATCGAAAAGTAGTAAAACATGGCTTATAATACCAGTAATCACGTCATTTTTGTGATCGAAAATTTTCAATTAATCTGTTCGTATCCGCTGTTAGGTTGTTTTCTCTTTTAATGATAATTAAAATTTTTGTAGCAATTATTTTGAGTTGGAGGTTTAATTTTTTATAAAATTAAATAGTACTTTATTTTTGGAATAAGATATCCCTTTCAGTTATGAGCTTGCGTATATGTCTTAACTTCTGAAAGTATGACTGAAATTTTTATTTAGACTGCATTATATCAATTATCCTGAAATATTTTCATTTCAAAATTAATCAAGTAGTATTTGGTGTAAAATATATCGTAAAACAAATCTAGTGAACACTTTGGAGACAACCATCCGCTTTCAAACATAAAATTTTGTATATGCTTTAAAGAAGAATTTAAATTAATTTTATGCACCCTGGGTTTACATTTACATGATTAGCAACGGACTTGTGTGTAGTCTCTTATCATTGTATTGGACGAATTGTCAAACATGGCTATTTTAGCCAGGGATTTTGAGAGGTGGTTATAATGTTTTTCGTGTTACTCATAATTCACATTATGCTTTCTCATAGACCACCACAATACTAAACAAAACAATTAATAAAACACGTGAAAACACCAACAACTAGCGTTGAAAATTGAGTACATCTGCATTCATGGCCTATGATGGTAGGATTGCCAGTTGCCAACTTGTAGAGTCATTTTTTTGTTTTTTTGTTTTTTTAAGCAGGAGGCTTTAAAAAATGAGCAGTGCACTCGCCGGTACTCGAACCTGGATCTCTCATACGCACCGAGTGAACAACCCGTTACACCACGAAGGCACCTAGAAAGGGCGTCCACTTCTGATATCTTACATACTCCCCCTTTTAAAGGGCGACTGAGGATTAGGGAACCCAGTGAAAAATCAGCATTCACCACCTTTTAGTTCGGGCGCCACTGGAGAGAGTCATTAGATATTTTTTTTAAGCTGGAGGCTTAAAAAATGAGCAATGCCCTCACCGGGACTCGAACCTGGATCTCTCGAATACGCCCCGAGTGTGCTAACTATTACACCACGAAGGCATGCAGAAAGGAGGAAGAAAATGCCTTACAAACTTTAATCTATGCCTACATAAATCAGTAACTTTTATTATAAATTAATTTCTGAACATATGCGTTATCTTAACATATACGCGTTTTATGGTGTATAACAATTTTTTTTAAAGCAGCGAAAAGTGACACTAGGAGATGATAGCGTAGCAGAAAATTCTCAAAATCGCATTACACGTAAATTTTAGCAGCACAGGTTTGTCAAAAATAGCAAATTTGCACAAAATTGCATGATTCGGCAACACTGGAAGAAATTAGCGAATGAAGATTGACGTTTCCTTCTTTTCAGGACTGCACTCGGTCTGAACTCGACAGGTTAAATAGATCCGTTGCGGATACGCAGTAAAACTTGTAGGTGTACGTCATCAGAGCTGAGAAGTCGTTTTATCCCATAACCAGACCTTAAACTGCGTCGAACTTCTCAGTTTCTGAGGTAAATCGTGATTATAGAAGCTCCTCTTCTTTTATATAAATGAAACACAGTTTCAAGGGACACATTTTATTTTTAAAATAAATATGCGTTAAAAATGGATTATAACTTCTGAATGCATGCCTGTCTTCCTCTAGGGAACAAAGACTTTTATTAAGACTTGAAAGGAAAGAAAAGCCCCATCCACATGTCAAAGGCTTATTCTCCAGGTGTAACAAATTTATGAGAGCCGATAAAATGTTTTGTTCCCGAAAGCACTAAAAGTGATCACCTTGGCCGTGCACTTCGAGCGCTAGGGACCTTTCACTGCGGAGCTCTTGCAAACTTAAACAATGTAACCAAATACGGGAGACAAAAATTGTCACTCGTGTAGACCTTATGTTTGGTCTCAAGTTGTTATGGGATCGGAATCGAGGGAATTTTTTTTTTCCCAGTCCCACTTTGTCTGATAGTTAAAATTATATCGGAAGGGCATCGCGGTCAGAAAGCGTTGGACTGTTCTCTCTTTGTTTTCATAGCTAACGACTCCACTGAATTTTTTAATGCTCTAATATTGTTTCTAGCATTCACGTTATTCTCATTAGTGACGTTTTAAGCGTTTTACTTTTTTTCATTCGTGTGCTGAAAAAAAGAATGCTTTTTCCTCTCATCCCTTGAAATAGTACGTTATACCATATATTCTGGGCTTGAATTCAGCCTGTTTAGCTGAATTTCTAATTTTTCTTTTCTGAATGGAATTTAAGTCCAGCCGGAGCTCCAAAGAGGACAAGGCTCGATATTTTGCTTCTTTTATTTAACTACTTATCATGCATTTAATAATTTATTACATTTTTATTTATATCTTTATATTTCATTTAATTTTAATTTAATTATTGAATTATTTTAATTATTAGTTATTTTATTATTAGTTATTTTATTTATATTAGTTATTTTATTTATTTTTATTAACTTCTTCCAGACTTCCTCAGGCACTTCTGATTTTAGAAATGAAGCCCTTCTTTCACAATATCACTGAACTCTCAACATCACTATCGTTTTATGAGAGAGATTTTTAGACTTTTTTAAGTACAAATATAGAAAAAAGCTGTATGTTAAAAAAGGCCTCAAATTCTGCCATAGTAAAATGACTGTTTATTTTTTTATGAACCGCGTAAATTCAACCAAATTTTACATTTGGATTACCAAATTTTACACTTTCAGAACTCACACTTGTTTATGATGTGATGCCATGATGTTATCCGCAGAAATTGCATCATGCGAAGTCTCTTGGTCCTGTTTCTCAATTTCTCGACCACAATTAAATAAATAATATTGAAAATCAGATTATTTAAAATTAAGCGGATTACTTACATTTACAGATCATTTAAAACTAAACCACGTACACATGATTTTTATATTTCAGAAAAACAAAATTAAAAAACAGTATCAAACTAGCATATATATATATATATATATGCAGTTTGATACTGTTTTTTAATTTTTAAGTTACGAATATATATATATCTATAAAATATATATATTTTTTTGTTATTAAATTCAAAAATTAAAACCCCAACATCCTGATTGAACTTTTTCTCTAACACTCGTAAATTTATGCGATCTGCGCTTTGTTGAAGAGTGGTGGTGTTAGTAGTACTTTGTAGTGGTGGTACTAAAGGTTTTTAATTTTTGTTTAGATGATACGTGTGAGGCCAAAAGGTTGAAAACTGCTGTTCTATATAATTCTTTACTATGATACTATAGTATATGCAAGTTTCCCTGGCTAGAAACATTCATAAAGATTATGAAATTGTTCTTTTTCAGATTTTTTACTTTGCGTAATTGTTGTAATTGGTTATTTTTTGGTCACGTCTGCTTTTAAAGATTTGTTTACTTAAAAGCTGCAAAATTTAAAACTATCGAGTTCAAAACAGTTTACTTGGTATTTATTTAATGAAACTGTACTCACTAGATTCCTGAAAACGTGATATAGATGAGTTCATAGTAAAAGGCAGACACGTTACTGTTGCGTTTTAGATGTTTTACCGCCTGATTCAGAAAGTCAAATATTTGTGTAAAATATACCGAATATAAAAATTCCTTTAGTTAGTTAACTTTTAATTTGTTTATTCCACGCCTTTCTTAATTTTCACCTCATTCGAGTGCCTTGTTTGCCTCACGCATGTCTCAGAACTGTTAAAATGTGTGTGTAAACTATAGTTTGGTATTTTAAAATAGACATTTCGAAGCCTTTCTGATCTTCCCTTATCCACGTGTAATTACAACACAGTACTTATTTCCTCCACCTTAGCTCAAGTCAGCCTTAATTCATGTGCTTTTCTCGAAAGAAAACTGGCTAAAAGACAAGGCTGTGGGAAATAAATAATTAGGGGATTGAACTATCTGCTGCAGCTGTTGTTAACATGCTTAAAGAAAATGTCAAAGTACTTATTTTAAAGTAACATACTGGTGTAAAGTAACATACATTTCCCAAATGGAATACGCCAGGTGTAAAAATTTTTCTTCGTAATAATTTGTTCTAAAACCAATGTCAGAAGATCTCAAGAGCCTGCAGTATATCTCTCAGCAAAACAGTTCAAATTCAGAGCGACCATCGACCATTGATTTTGCAGCCCTGTGTTATCGTCTTCAGACATAGCGGAACAGAGGCCTTAAAAACTCAACAGAAAAATTAAAAGTGCGTAATTAATTCAGCCCTCAAAATATATCAGATAAAGCAAGTACATATATCGCGCTGGAACGTTCCCTAAAGAGAACTCTAAAAAACTTGCGGCTAGCAAGAGCTCTGTCTTCAGAACCTGAAGACAATTAATTGTACTTACCCCACTTGGAGGCCCACTGGATAACTCTTTGCTACATCTATGCATATAGTAGGTAACTGCCAGTTTATGTTGTTAATATTCTTTGAAATGCTAATAGGTATTAAGTTTTTTATAAATTATTTATAACTATGATAGAACCCAAGGCTGCTATTATTCATGATCCAGAACACGCAACCAAAGCAACACACAACGAAATTAGAGTACACAATGCATCTTATTTGAGACATTTATGTCTTAGCAGCGTATATTCTCCTAGCATTTATGGGTACAAAAAACAGCAAAGGTTAAGAAAGTTTGCTCTTGGACGTATATTTACTTATTAGTTTTATATATAGCTTTATTTGTTAAGCATTTACATGCAGTTCAATGCAGTTAAGTATAAGCTTTTGTAAAAATTTTTAAAAAATTAAAAGCTTTTTTTTTTCTTTGTAGGTGTATTTTTATGTTTTGTAAATGGTCTCGGCGTAACAGCAGGAGCCCACAGGCTCTGGACTCACAGGGCTTATAAGGCTAAATTACCTCTAAGAATATTTTTGGCTTTTTGCAACTGCATGGCACTACAGGTTAGTAAACCTTCTGGCTAGTAATTTAAGTTCGATATTATAACAGCAATTTTATACGTAGCACTTTCGTATTATTAGAAAAGTAACAAAAAAAAAGTGAAAAGCGTTTAATATCCATATTCTAAAAATAATTTCAATGTGAAAACTCATTTTAGATCTGCAACCTTTATATTTCTTATATTTTTTCTTTTTTTTCATTCCTGTTTAAATCTAAAATAACGTTTTGAACTATATTGCCAACTGCATTTATCTCAGGAAATTTATGATTGTTAACCTGCTTAATTATATAGTTCGCTTGCTTTATTATATAGTTCGCTTATTATTATATAGTAACTTGCTTTATTATATAGTTAGTTTTGTACTTTTACTTTAGACCCTTTTTTAATGACATTTCAGTTAATGTTACACATATTATGCTGGCAACGAGACTTGATGATTTTAAATTTCATAACTGCAAGTAAGAAATAAAACCTCTTCAAGAAATATTTAAATAAATACCCTTATAATATTAAAAAAAAGCACGCATGATATTGTCAGGACTGATATTTCTTCTAATTGCCTTTGGTAACATTTAGTGATCTAAATGGGAGCAGGTAGATTACTCAAAGTATGATCATGCGTGTGTAGGACAAACAACACCACTAAGAAGGGTTAACTTTACCACAGCGTATAGCCGTCCCGCACTTCGGGATGCAAATACCTGCAATTTTGGTCTAAAACGTAGAAAATAACAAAAAACTAAATTAACTAAATAAGAATTACACTTAAATGCTTTACATAGACTATTAACGCGAAGATTGGCCTTTCGACACTACGTATGTAGTGAACGAAATGAAAAAAACTACAATACATCTTCAAATATCAGCAGGGACTAAGTTCTGGCCTTAACGGCAGACATGAACTGACTGAAAAGTACGCACGTGGTAAGGCAGCAAGAAGTCTCTCTGTTCTCTTGGTTAAAAGCCACATCTGAAATACCTATACAGTTTGCAACCTCATCAGCATAAACAATTCTACTCGCGCTTATTCTGGCCGGAAATGGAAAATAACAGAGGATAGCAAAGTTTTAAAATAAAATAAACGTTAGTAAAACTTGAAATCCTTACAATATCATCAATAATCCTTTCTATTTTTGCTGATGTATGTATGCTCCTCTTATTGTGGAAAAAAGGCGGCACACACAGCCGCCAAATTCTGGAAACACATACTCTTTCTCCAAAACATGTGTACCTCAAAACCAGAATATTTAATTTCGAATTTGTGTTTTTTATTTATTTTCTGCTTTATGTGAAATAATGAAATTTTGATTTTACATACTCAGCGATTTAAAAGCAGTATGCTGCCGCTAGCAAAACGTCAGATACTTATATTTCAAATTTTATCAACAAATTCAGCGATTTAAAAGAAATGTGTTGCAACTGCTCGAAATAAAATATTTTCGCCTTTCGCACACCAGTGATTAATCATTCGGCAAAGCCTAAAATGTTTATTTTTATTTGTAAACTCATGAACAAGCTAAGCAATTTAGAAGCATTAAATGCACAAATTACGCATGTTGGACTGATTAAAATCATGATATACTTTTTCTTTTTTTGTAATAAACTAGCCGCTACGCGGCCAGCCTTCGTCTGGCTTTTTAGGCATTTTTCTGATACACCAAACATTAAATTTAGAAACTTCACAGAATTGTACTCACAGAACAACTTTATCAAAAAAACAAACAGCCACAAAAAAAAAAAAAAAAAAAAAAAAAAAAAAAAGAAAAATAGAAATTTAAATAAAAATGTATTATATATAAAAAAATTACAATGAAAAAAGCAGTATGCCTTAATACAAATATTAATTATCCTAATAAATAAATTAACCAACTTCCCGTTGCAAAACCTTAAGAATTCAAATGGTATAAAAGAAGTTAAGAACTTTGTTTCCTAAAAAAAATCATGTAAAACTTTTTATGTAATTAAAACAAAACAATTACATTGAAATAAGCAATAAATCTCATATTTTTAAGAGAAAACAGTCAGCAGTCCAGTATCCAAAGCAATGAATGAAAAACTGTTGCCAAAAACCACATTTCTAAAAGGAATGAAACTATCATCAGAAAGCAATAACCAATCAAAATTGTGCTATGTGGATGACATAATTCAAAATATACAAACCTCTTTACCTTTAGCTAATAAATAGAGAGAGAGAAAAAAGAAATTCTTTCTGTTGTGCCTCGCGAGACATGCGCGTCAGAATAAGAAGTGCGATGCGATGTGCGTGTTGCGTGTATAATTATTATATAATGTGTAATTATTATATAATGCGTGTATATTTTATCTCATATTTTCAACAGTCAGCAATCTAGTTGTAAGATCTGTCTGTTATTCCACATAAATTAAATTAGATCGTGGAATGAACCTGGCGAATTCTCGCACAGGCGTGAATTAAATACCAGCACAGAAGAAGGATGAAAAATAACCCTTTATTAATTCATACTAATTAACAGAAAGGCAAGGACTTCGTCGTTACAAAGACACCGACCACTTGCAGGGGAAACTAAAATGTAGAATATAATACAAATCAACCTGAAATAAATAGTGCAAGAGCGCACTTAAGTTTACGCCTAAGAGATGGACTCACTGGAATCTAACTTCGTGGTACTAAACTGATAAGGCCAAGTGGCTTACTAGCGTGGAAGGCGAAATAACAACGAAACGTGCGCTTGGCTAGCGAAACACGCTCTGAATAAACTGAGATATTCACACGTTTAAATAGCACTTCACTTCACTCTAAATTTCCATCCTGGCAAGAGAATGTGAGGGGAAGTTGAGAAGTTTAGAACAGGTATCAAACTTAAAGTAAATTTGTTATGCAAAATAAGTATCCAAATTCTATATAGTATCCAAAGCAATGAATGAAAAACTGTTGCCAAAACCACATTTCTAAAAGAATAAAACTATTTAAAATGATGCGATTTCATCAAAAAAGATAAAATAAAAGAATCTGATTCGAAGTTTGAAAAAAATCGTTTCGAGGTGCATTGGCTCTTGTCTAGATGAACCTATGTAACAAATTTTGTAGCCTTGGATCTATTAGCTTACGCGCAGCACGAACGAAAGACACACACACAGACAGACTTTTTCTTTTATTATATGTAGAGATTGTAGGCGGCTAGCCGCGTAAGCAATTAATTAAGTGAAAATACCAAATCTGAATAATTAGATAGTAAACTAATATGTCAAATATTTAGTTATTTCCCCCCTCCCTTGTGTATACTTCTTGTCTATTTCCTATTTGTCTTTTCGTAAATTCTAATTAAAGTACTATACAATTAAATTTTTATATATGAAGCATAAACTCATTTAATTCAAAATTCAAAATTCAAACGAAATATTAACATGCAGTCAGCAAAACTTTGAGTCAAATATATAATATTTGTGAAAATTAAGCGCATTCTGTTTTCTTTTAAAATATAAGAAATTTAGACAGTATATTTATAAGTATAGAAACGAATCCTAGGGAAAAAACAGTTATATTTAATCAGCAGCTTCTAATGTAATATTCAGAATACTTAAAGAATGCACTTAAATAATTACTCATTTAAGTGCACTTAATACGCACAACATACAACTTTTATTTTGTTTTCTAAATGTAATTTTATCTACATATAAGGATTCGAAACATAACACTAGTCGAACTATGGAAACATGGAAGTACGCACTCTTATCAGTTCTTCAATTTACAATTTCAAAAATTGGTATATGCATGTGCCTTACATTGCCTCAATTAAGTAATCCTCAGTTGAGTAATTATTATTTGCCTCAAATAAGTAATGCTTGTTTGAGTAATTATTATTTGCCTCAAATAATTAATGTTCCTTGCTTCTTAGAATGACCTGTATGAGTGGGCACGAGATCACAGAGTCCATCACAAGTTTGCCGAAACCAATGCTGATCCACATAATGTAAATCGTGGTTTTTTCTTTGCTCATATGGGGTGGTTAATGGCAAAGAAACAGAAGGATGTCATTGAAAAAGGCAAGACAGTTGATGTCAGCGATGTCTGGGCTGATCCGGTTGTTAGATTTCAACATAGGTAAGATTCGAAAAATTTCTAAAAAGCATTAGAAACTGGTATTTACAAGTGTATTTATCAAAACCTAACTTTAATCAATTTCAAGTAATAATGCATTTTTCGAAATAATACAACTGAAATTTTGTACATTTTTATTCCTACACTTATCTCGTATAATAATTGTATGTGTTATCAAATTAAAGGAGAATTTCTGAAATTTCACTTTTTAGTTGGTGATGATGGTCAACTATGAAATACCGATTCATATACTCTGCACCTATAGTTTCTGTAAAGAAAAGCAATTAGAATGTTTGCTCCTGTTGGCATTCGAACAAAAACAAATGGGTAAAACGTTACAGTTTCCACAAATATTTAACTGGATTCAGTTTTGTGCATCTTACTAACGGTAATCGTTGTAAATTGTAAGTAAAATAATTGAGTTGTAAGTAAGTCCATTACATTAAAATGGTAAATCATGAAATGTTACGAATTTTAAACAAAATAAAATAAAAAATAGTTTTTTTTTTTAAATTGAAAGATTTCAAATTTTATATTAAGCCTAAAGGGACTTTTTTTAACGTTTTGTGTGTTACCTTTATTTATTAAATATCGTGCTCTTCGCACTTAAACCGAATAAAATTCAATTCACCAGCAATATTACAAAATAATTTGAAAGGAGCATATCTTTAGAATTTCCGATATACAGTTTCGCGCGCGGGAAATAAAAATGTATTTTTTTCTGTACAGTGTTGCCATTGCTCGCTTTGAAATCGTTCAGTTTTTTAATCAAAAATTCCTAAAGTTTTACGAAATATGAAATAGATAATAAAACAATTTCAAATGTGGGCTTCCAGATGCCCATACTCTAGTGGAGAGCTACGTTATTCAAAGTTTGAAGTGTTAAGTACCGTTGTTTTTTCGCAGTGCGACCAACATACATTCAATTCATGCAAATTCTTCATTATTTAATTTCTTTCAATATAATTCAAGGCTCTAATATTTGCTGGCAACAGTTTGAAAAATGAAACACCATTTATAGTGAACCAACGTAAAATGCCGAAACGAAACAGCTCTTCTGGGTAAATTGCCAATTTCGGCTAAAACATTTTTAAAATAATAAAAAGAAGTTCATAAACTGCAAAAATTCATTCACAATTAATTCACAGAAATTACATGTTCTGGAAAGTATTCTGTGCAGTTGAATGACGTTAGGTTTAAATGACATTTGAATGCATAATTTCTTAATCGAGAATCAGTTACAAACACATATGGAATATAGACATAAAAGTCACAATTGAAAAATGGGAAAAGGAATAAGAAATGAGATTTTGTAAAAGAATAAATAATTTTAAAATAGGTCAAAATGTTCAAATTTATTAAGATGTATAATCATCCCAAACTTCACTAGAACCAGCCGTAAATGTTTTTAAACTACTAGAACAGCTTTTAAGTTATTGAGGGTTCTTAGTACTAATTCTGCCTCCGAAGAATTATGCAAATATTCGAATACATACGTGTCGAATACGTAAGCGTACATTTGCGTGTTTGGAGTTGTGATTCTGGAGTAAGCACCGGATGGGTTTCCAGCTATTAACATGCTCGTACGCGACGTTCGAGGTGTTTATTGCAAAAGTTGGGCGAATTTTATCAGGTATCAGGTAAAATACTAACGTGGATAACGTGGATGACCAGTAGGTACTAACGTGGATGACAGAATGAGATGGGGAATTGTCGGTAGATTGAAGGCAGGTCAGTCTTAATCACAGATGGCTACAGAGTTCAATGTAACGCCCCGTGTCGTCTGTAATTTGTGGAAACAGTTTCAGGACACTAGATGCGTATCGAGAAGACCTGGACAAGTTCGAACAAGATCCACAACTACGAATGAGGATCGTTATTTGGCACTTTCGGCTCGGCGACACAGGACTGCTACATCTTCACAGCTCTCACGTAAGCTGTATGCTGCCACTGGAACCCGAGATTCACGCCATTTATAAATAAACAATATTTTTTATAAATTTGCGTGACGGCTTCATTATTAGGCTGAATGCAGAAGATCCGCTGTTTGCGTGTTTCTCACTGCAGCACACAAGTGAAAGCGTTTAGCATGGTGCAGGTAACATGCGCCTTGCACCTGGAGCACCTTGCCTTTTACAAATGAATCGAGATGCAGGCTGAACATTGATTCTTGGCATATCTATCTCTGGAAAGAGCTTGGAACACGATGTGATGTCTCCATCGCCAGGGAAAAGGATCATTACGGTGGTGGAAATGTAATGGTTTTGGTAGGTATTTACGTTGAACGCCTACCCCCTATCGCTGCATGTGTTTGACAAAGACTCCCTGACTGCTATGAGGTATAGCGATGAGATCTTAGAGCCCTATGTTTGAAGTTTCAAGGTTGTAGATGACCCTGGGCTCCTTTTAGTGGACAACAAAGCTCTTCCCAGTACGGTTCAGCTGGTCGACGATTACCTAGAAATTGAAGATATTCGCTGCATGAATTGGTCAGCCAGATCTCCTGACTTCAGCCAAATACAGCATGTCTGGAAGCTCTTGGGAGACCATTATCATCTCGCCATCCGCCTCCGAGAACCTTCCTAGACCTGGAAACTCTCTTGCTGCAGGTGTGGGATCGACTGCCACAGGGACTTTTCAACTGGCTCCTATCCAGTATGCTCTCACGCTGCGCTAGTTGTCTAGCCGCCAGACAGGACCATACCCCATATTACTCATATCTGTACCTCATAGCAGTCAGGAACTCATTTTCAGTTAGATATAACAACATGGGTTTTGAACATTTCTGCAGAGCTTTACTGATAATAATGTTTACATAGAATGGCTTTTGACTGCATCTCTTCCTTTGTTATAAATGTATATTCATACCAAATTCATTAAAACATGTCCATCAGTTTTTCAAAAATTCGATATATTATGCAAATTTTCTTAATTTCCCTCAGTGTATTTAATTTCTTTACGATGTTAATCATAAAGTTTTAATTTTTGAAATTAAAGGCTCTTAATTATTGTGCATGTACCCCTGGTAAGAAAAATAGTTTCTTAATTAATCTATTTAAAATGTATCTATTTTCAGTTAAATATTTTTGAATCAAAACGATATTAAATTTTTTTATTAAAACAATTCCTGTCTGTTCCGAAAGTTTTTTATCCCACCCACCAATACTAATAGATTATTTCAAAATTTGAGAAAGGTTAAAGAATTTTATTCAAAACTGAAAATACATTTAATTTTTTAACCTTCCCCCCCCACACACACACAAAGTTTCCATTGATATTATAATGCTTTTAAATACTCGAAACGTCTATAGGCTTTATTATAGAAATTTAAAACAAGGACATTTGTTTGGAATTCTTTAAAATTATGGCCAAGTTTTCAGTAAGCTGGATCTGATATTTTTAGTAGAATTCTATTAACTGATTATATTAGATTCTAATCAGTGAGATCTGTGGAAATTCTGTGCAGATTTTTGTACAATATCTGCACAACTTTGTGCAGAACATCTACACATATCTATATAGAATTTCTATACATAATCATGCAGAAGCTACTATATCTAAAATAGAATTCTATATTCTTACAAAGCTTATAGAAAACTGAGTCATAATTCTAAAGATGTTAACATCGATTGTTTTTATAGTCTTCTTTAAGACATTTTCATAAGGGGCTGATTCGGCCGCATGGGGTTGTAATCTAGCACGTAACGGATTTCTACTAAAAAGCGCATAAGTTGCGTGAGATTCAAGTCAGCTGCTACTCTTAAATGGTGTTAAAAAAGTCGGTGAAAAGGAGAAACTACTTGTTCAGAAACTGTCAATCACATTAGCATCAGTCCTTTATGTTTTGAGGTCACACCAGCGGCCGAGCGGTAAAGTCGCTGAACACTGTAGTTCGGCCCGAGGGTTCGAATCCCGCGAACGGGCTGGCTGCATGGGCGTTTTCGTGGTTTTCCCCATGTGTAACGTGTATACGAGCCAGTTTCCCTTAGAAAGTCCTCCACGAAGGCATCCCTCCTCTTAGGCAGATAGCCCTAGTGTGCTTTGCCATAATTAAATACACCACAACACCTTTATGTTTTGAAACTGTTGTACTAGAAACGTCAGATAATTATTTTCAAGGTATTATTTTTTTACCATGAAAAGTTTCCAAACAAGGATGTTCTGCTCGAATTATGAATAGCTAATACTTTTTAATCGTTCTCTTTGCTTTCTATTTGTTATGGTGGATTTTTCAATAAAAATATGTCATTCTTCTTCCTTTTAGAAATTTCCATTTCAGTGGATACCAAAATAACGTGAAATTCGCAGCTGGCTTAGATATTTGTGCATAGCTTCAAAATTTAATCCAATATTTAATGTTTGGAGTTTAATGCTCTTGTTTGAAATTTAACCCTTAGTAATGAAACTTGACCCACTTCTTAATGAAATTTTATCTACGTTTTTCAAATGCAATCCACTTGTTGCTTATAAATGTTCAAGATCCATTCGTGGACGTAATAAGTCGTAATGCAAATTTTAACCACTGTCTGTATACACTACGTCTACAATAGTTCTTATGCGGTCTTTATTTTTAAAACCGTTGGTCGTAGACTTACACTTTTAGTTACAAAAATGTTTCGGTGACGCAAATATTGATGTTTTAACATATTTAAATTTAAAAGAAACAGTGTTGTAAAACTCCGAAATCTTTTCTATATTCTTCCTATTCATACAGTTATATTAAAAATGTATATTCATTATAAGAAATAAAATACGAAATATTTGACATCTGCACTGCAGAATTGATCAAGGTATTAATTTTAATTTTTGAATTACATAACAGGCACGAATACACCTTGAATTACACACGTTAAAAAGCGAAGTGTTTGTACCTAAGTAAAATATCAATTAAAAACGAAAAAGAAAGAAAAAAAGGGGGAAACATTTTCTGATGTTAATAGATTAAATAATGAACAGTGTTATGCAGATTTCTATAAATCTACTTTTTTCGTCTTTCCAACATG